ACAATCCTCTGCAAACAAATTATAACAATACGCTCACTGCTACTTTGTCGACATAAATAAAATGACCATCAAACTTGATAGTCTGGCTTTTCAGAAATCATACAGATATGGTATTTTTTCAGAGACGTGTCTGTAAAAGAATTGAAAATAAAAGATGGAACGAATGAGAAGGTCTCTTAAAAAAGCAGTTTACAATGAATTAAATAATATAATATATTGTTATATGATAAATCTAGATATATTTAAAACAATGTATTGTAAAGTATATTTTAATATACATCACAATATAAATATGTTTTCAAAACTGAGAACGCTACTATAGCACTAAACCCATCTCAATTTTTTGTCAAGTTCTAATATACACGGTGTCTAAAAACATGAAATTTTTAATGTACATAGAGCACATTACTATTCGTACGTTGGTGATAATCCCCACTTAAACATCAGCATCATCATCATCATTGGCTCAACAACCCATGATGGGACTTGGCCTGCTCAAGGATAAGTTTCCATTCTCTCCTATTCTTCGCCTTGGCTTTCCAGTTTCGTACTCCCAACATTCTCAAGTCTTCCTCCATCTGATCCTTAAATCGTGCTCTAGGTCTACCTCTTCTTCTCACTCAGACATCAGCATAGGTTTAGCATAAACGTCTGGATAGGAGTAGTTGATAAATATCTACTTGGACCTGTGGATAGGGTTTTTTTGATTTGTTAGATGATGTGCCTTTAAATATTCGGCACAACTTATGGTTTCTACATGACGGCTTTCCAGCCCAGTTTTGCAGATATGTTCGAGACTTTATTGATAATATCTACGAAAACCACTGTATTGGAAGATGCGATACAATTGCTCGCCCAGTAAGGTAGCTAGATTTGAATTCTTGTGACAACTGTGTTTGTTGTGGTAATCCGTTTCGATACAAAATCGTATACAACTCTGACCAAGTATACAAGATACTTGTAACAAATTAAGCAATAAAATTTTTGCAAAAATTCGGAGTTCTCTAAGCAAAATATTTAATTTATGCATAGGGATTAATGGTAATCACATCGAGCATCTATTTGTAATTATCTGCCTTTGTTAAAAAAACCTGGATAAAAACTTTGATAAAAAATAAAATTTTGTTTCAAAATCATTTTTTGATTCTTTTTCCCAATTTTTTTTTTTTAAGAATTGTGTGCTACATCTATCGAAACGAATGATAATTTGTGAAATTAATTAAAGTAGGTATATATTAGTTTAACTTTCATAACGAAAATACCAAAAATTTTTAAATCGATTTTTTCAGAATACGATGTATACTACAGACTTAAAGTAAGAGTACCTGTTAGTACAAGAATACCTGAAAACTGAATAATCTAGTATCACGAATGCTTTTAAGTTTAAACCAAAAAAGCTGTGTTAAAATAGCTGCTGACTTACCCAAAACGGACGCATATGACCGGTACTATAAATTCGCGTTTTTAGAAAAACCAGTGGAACGTTTCAACGCTAAACCCCCTCAAAAAAAAAGTTCCGTAGAACCGTGGAAATATAAAAAATTCTTAACAGTGCTTATCTATGGGCTTATAATTGGCCACACTAATAATCCTTTCTATCAAAAAATGTATTATTCTACTTAGGTACTCAGTTAAATCTTAGAGAAAATTGAACAATTCATAAAATTCGTTAAATATATTAATATACATATATTATTGCAAATTAAAAATATATATGGGTAAACTAAATTATGTATATGCCCCTAATAACGTTAGAGGTTAATTCGACTGTTTTTGTAAATTAAAAAAAATAGTTTTAAATTTAAATTCACCGAGCAAGTTTGAGCTTGCTTAGTTTACTAACATTTATTACCCAAATTTTATTTAAAGAGAGAGATTCCTTAGTGGCTAAGTAATAACTCCAGATTAAGAATAAGATTACTCCAGTCACCAGAGACGAAAATGCGACTGAACCTCTAAAAATCATACAAACATTCTAAATTTTACTGAGAATATCAATTTTAGGACCCCAAAAAATATGTAAAAAAGTTTTTTTTTGCATTTTGGAATTTCCATTGTTAGAACCTAATCTTCAGAACCTGTAGCATAAAATTTCGATTTTGAGTTTCGGCTATAAATATGAGGCATTTGAAATATGCCTAAAAACAGCGATATACTCACATTGTAATCGATCTAAAACATTTAAAACTGCTTTTTTTGACTGCACTACCACTACTAAAAACTACAGTACAGTTTTTTGACAGTTTACTACTACAGTATTAAATTGTACCTAATGCGGTTTTCGTGGAAGCATTTCCCATGGCGTGGGATCGTTTGTAATGTAAAAGTTTAAATTCAGCATTTTCTAGGCATATTTGAAATGTCGAACATTTGTTGCCAATACTCAAAATTGACATTTCATGTTATAGGTTTTGAATATTAGTCCCTAATATTGGAAATTCCATAGCCAACCGGTAAAAAAGTATACAAATTTAATTAAAAAATAGCTTTATAGAAACTGACTATTCGTGACAAAATGCCAAAATTGCATATATATATATATATCTATATATATATATATATATATATATATATATATATATATATTGTTATGATTTTGTATTTTTGATTTTAATTTATTTACTTGAAACAATCACAAAAATATACTTTCTCGTTATCAATGTCCTAAAAAATAAACTTCTGATATTTCTTATGTTCAGTGAGTTCAAAGTTTTCTAGTTGTATTTGTCGGGATAGGAAAAACAAAGGATAATAATAAAAAGTATAATACATAAAACACAGATATTTTTTATTTTATAAAAAAAAACAATTATTAAATTTGCCGTTATCTTTTCAATCAGCGAATATGCATGTAATGAAATTAATACAAAAAGAAAATTTTAATTCTTATTTTCTTCTTGAGACAAAACAATTTGAAACTAATTTAAATTTGGATACCTTTATAAACTTTTATCTTCCTTATATTTAAAAATTTATTTTATTATGGAAACAAAACTTTAAAACATTTGATAAATGTAAAAAGGTCTAATCATGCTTTAAACTGGTAACAACAATGAGGTAAACAAATCGCATTTAAGATTTACACACCTTTCAACTTGAAAAAGGGAAATATCTGACCTTTCTTCCCTGGATTGTTTTAGGACCACACAAAGAATTGTCCACCTTCCACAGCAATGTGTTCTTCCACCTTGCGCCTCGGCTTCTTGTTTCAGTATCTGCTCCTTCAGCCAATTTAACTGACTTAATTTAACCTCCTGACTCAATTCTCCAACACTTAACATACGAAAATCACTTCTTCAAACATTCATATAACTTCTTCGTGACCCAAGGATCTCTTTTCTCACCTGGTGCCACAACTATTTAACACGTATTCCAGAAACTGCACACTTTAGATTCAAGGATTTCTTTACATCGACTTGCAATCTACTTCTTCCACAATTCTGCTAACAAGACTGGTAACTTTATCCACTTAACAATGCCGGCCTCCAACTCACGAACACACCGCCTGTCGAGACGCAACCTTTCTTTTCGATCACTCAAACATCACTGTCTTCTCGAACCAACAAAAACTCTATCAACCCTCGGTCTGTCGATTTCCCCTTCCAAAAAGATCGTCTCATCACAAAATCCAAATTTGTTCACCACACTTGTTGGAATGCTAATTACCGTTTTCAAGCAAGGAACTTTAATCTTTTAACAATGGTCATTTCCTTGTAAACAAATAATTTTTATACATTTCAAAGATTTTTGCCTTAGTCATAATAGAAGATTTATACAACACAATATCGGACTAATCCTTCAGGTAACAGCTTATTTTCTATAATGTACAAATGGTTTGTCAATAACTCGTTTAGAATGGCTTAGTTCTTTATAAGTCATAAAATTTCGGTACTAATCTATCTATTTACAAATATACAAACTTTCTATCTTAAAATTAATACATATTTTGTCTTCAGATTTCTTAAAAACTTACTTCCGATGGATTCCTTAATTATTTTTGTTCCTTCCGCGTTTGTGGAAGAAGAAGTATAATAATAATATATATATATATATATATATATATATATATATATATATATATATATATATATATATATATATATAATCAGTACACTTTATAAAAGGCATTTAAATTTTTGTTAATAAAACACTGTAATCAAAAGATATGGTATTTTTACTATCGAGTTGATACAACTTTAAAATAAAGAAATGATTTCAAGCGCGGAACTAACTTTTAAAATCGCTGGTCGCTTCAAGCGTTGTTTCTGAGAGAACGGTTCACTTTACACGAAAAGTATTTATAAATATTTTTGTTAAAATCATCTCAGCTAAATTTCTTATTTGAAACATTTTTTACGGCTTACATTCGCCTCCTCTCTCCTGCGAGGGGGTTTTAAAGTGAATACCAGGAGTAGGAGTGTCAAACATTTTTGCATCTTTTTGAGGTCTCAAAATTGACATTTTCGGCAAAATGCAGCATGTTTTTCCCGTTTTTAGAGACCAAATCTCTCACTACTGGACTAACATTTTTGTTCTTTTCACACTAGAAAAACAGTGCGTTTAAATAAAATTGTCATTATTAAAGCAAAAAGAGAACAATTATTTTGTCAAATGATATACAAAGTAATGAAATCAATGGATAAAATGTACAAAATTGTAGTTTATTGAATAATTAACAACCTATCTAAAACATATAAAATAAAGAATTTTCACAGGCTTCTGCATTTTTTCGTACTCCTAACTAGGTATTGGTTTACTGACATTTACTATTTTTCTTCGCTTTAACATCGGTTTTCTTTCATATATTTCCGTCTGTCTTCTTCTGATTTTAAACTGATGTTCTATATCATCTGTCCACAATTCAAGCTTGCTTTTATAAAATTTGTATAATGCTTGTAATGCTTTATATGCTTGTTATTATAAAGCTCCGATTTAAAAAATAATAAAATATAATCAATTTTCAAATAATTTTACTAAAGTATTTTCTTTTATAATTATAGAAGGTTCTGATGATGAAATAGAAGTACCAAGTAAACAAATTTGCGTAGACGAACAATCCATGGAAAGAACGATGGTTCCTCCCAGGGTAGAATCTGAAAATATCGATTATTGTCCCATCGAAAACTACAGAAATAAATCCGATCAAATTGAGACAGCGAAAAAGACACCTGAATTCTATAATGATAAGCAACTAGAATTTAACAGAAAAGTAAACGACAACACGAACGAAAACACGTATCTTTTTCTGCCGAGTGAATTAGAAGTAAGAGAAACAGGTGTTTTTACTATATCAGACGTTCCTAAGGGAGTAAGGTATGGACCATTTCAAGGAGTATGGGCGCCTAAACCACAAGATATTAGATTTGCTTGGCAGGTAAGTAAAATTTACAGCGTATTGATTTTATTTATATATTACATTGGAACTTATACTTTCATCCACAAAGAAACTAAATTCCTTTATCTGGGTGTATACCATGTATCACAAAAAAATGTATTTAAAAATTCCTTTTATCAATTCCTTATCAATTTCTAATGTAACTTAAACATTCTATTATATAATATCAAATAATGTAACTCAAATTCAATTTAACAACATTTAAAGAGTTTTCACCCAAGTATTTAGTGGCTCAAAACATACATATTCAGATAGCACTGATGATGGAATATTAATTCCGAAAACGTTCTGTGATGCCTTTTATAAAGGAGTTTTTGTTGGAGGGTAAAATGGAGGGTTTTAAATAAGTGTCGTACAAGAATACGGAAGATATGCAAAGAATAAAAATAAAATTCTTTATTAAAATAATTTTTCTTAAGTTTACATATCTTTATAAATTTTTCAAACTCTATTTAATATTAATATAATTAACCTGATAAAACTGTACAACAAAATATTTGAATACTGCACACGATTGTTAATCCCTGTGCACAACTTCTGGTTCTGCACGAAACTTTTTCTTTCTTTATCTCTTAGAAACTATTGTATAGTACTTCTATAGTACTGAACTATCGTATTCTATTATATTATATTGTAACATTTGAATTGTCCAATATAATATACTGTTATGGATCAGTGTATCGATCAGAAATAGAATAAAGAGTTTTTATTATTTTAATATACCGCGGGCATATAAGTTAAAATACAACCCTGTACTTATTTGTAATAGTTAGAATAAGAGAAAACATTGTTCCGTGACGGGACCCTAACGAGTTTTTCCGTGAAAGACTGAGTGAATAGTGAAAGGACAATGGAACCCGTATAATTATAGATTTAGGAATAAACTTGTAATTGTATTTTGCGTTGGGCATTTTTCGAAAGTAAATAAGAATTCGATTTAGATAAGAGATAACAAGAATTTGGAAACTTATTTCTGTTGAAAAAGGCAAAATTGTTAATGGTTTCTGAAAAGTAATTTGAGTGAAAGTAGTTTATTTGTTTTAAATATCATGTTGGAAATTTTCTAAATCGAAAATAAGTAGGAAAGATGAATGCTTATGATTGGTTAAAAAAAGAATGGTGGGAATGAGAGAGTTGAGAAGGTTGTCTGGGAGAGATTGAAAGATTATTATGTTACCGGCAGACCAAAGGAGAAGACGTGTTTTCGTGTAGTCAATCTGAGTACCAGTGTTTTCGTTTGTTAGTGAAAAAGATGGAAGTTGATAGCAGATCAAAATCGAGAAGATTAATACCTCTTTTTGAGTTTGCATAGTCCACGAGATATAATTGAGAAAGAAAGGAGAATTTGTGAATAAAGAGTACCGGTCAAAAGAGGCTTGAGCTTGTGTTTTCGGAGGAGTAGTTTGCTGGTATGCGGTTTGGATCGATGCTGAGAACGGGAAAGATTTGATGGTAGCCGGACATAATCAATCAAGGAAGGAACTGTGGTTTGATCGAGAGGAGACATCATTGGTGTGAAAATAAAGGTCAGTCAAATAATTTGAATGAAAGAAAATTTTAAGATATTCTAAAGATAAAATCAAATATAAGCATACGAACTAAGATTCCAAGTTTCAAAGAGTTTTTTTTTTGAATAAATTATATTTTTATATGGTCATTTTTTTAGTAGATATTATTATAAAAAGCGAATTTAGAGAATTACAGACCGATTAGCCTCCTCAGCCATATATATAAGTTGTTTACGCGAATACTAGTTAAGAGTATTCGCGTAAACTAAAGGTAAAAACCCTAATAGAGAAAGCAGTGGAATACAATAAACCTCTAGTTCTAATATTTATCGATTTTCACAAAGCCTTTGACACAGTTGAGCTAAGCAAAATATTACAGGCGCTTAAAGAATGCAGGCTAGATTATAGATATACTAAATTATTATACAAAATATACCTGCAGGCAACAACCACTATCAGATTACATACTAACAGTAATCGCATAAAAATAGAACGGGGGGTTAGACAAGGAGATCCAATGTCACCTAAACTTTTTAATACGGTGCTAGAACATGCTTTTAAGAATTTGGATTGGATAACAAAGGGAATAAAAATAGATGGAGAATCTCTAAACAACTTACGTTTCGCCGATGATATACTTATAATAGCTGAAGATCTAGGTATGGCAAGAGAGATGGTACAGGAACTCGTTGTGGCTACAGAAAATGTAGGTTTAAATATAAATATCTCGAAAACAAAAATCATGACCAATTTGATGCCCAACCAGAATATCAGTATTGGTGGGAAAGAAATAGAACTCGTAGATAGATATAAATACCCGGGACATGAAATTATGATTGGCAGAGACAACCAGACTCATGAACTGAAGAGAAGAGTCGGCCTTGGGTGGGCAGCTACTGAGAGAAACTTTTAAAAGTGAGCTGCCCACATGCCTAAAGAGAAAGGTATTTGATCAGTGCGTCCTCCCAGTCTTGACGTACGGAGCAGAAACACTTACCTTAACAAAAGCAGCAGCTACCAAACTGAGAGTCACGCAGAGAAGAATGGAGCGGTCCATGTTAGGAATAACTCTCCGAGACAGAATAACAAACGAAGACATCAGGAGAAGAACCGGAGTGACTGACATCATCGAGAAGATAGCCAGACTAAAATGGAGATGGGCAGGACACATAGCCAGAATGACAGATGGGCGATAGACACAAGACGATTGCAAGACGATTACAAGATGGACTGACGATTTAAGAAGACTCAATAAAAACTGGATAAGAGCGGCGCAAGATAGACGGGATTGGAAACATGAGGAAGAAGGCTATGTTCAGCAGTGGACTCTTGAGGCTGGATGATATGATTATAAAACAGATCAATAGATAGTTTGTAATTAAAATTAAATTTAGAGGAGTATAGGATTTTGTTGGGAAAGATAAAAAAAAGGCACCCTGAGAATTTTTAATAGTAATTGAATTGTATGACTCTGCATAAATTAGTGAATTAATTAATTAAATAATTGGATTAATTAAATTAGTTTTAATTAATAATAAAACATCATAAAGCAGATCACAACGATACATATGGATATTTTGGGTTTTGTAGTGAAATACTGACCTTTAAGTAAAACTCTTTAAGGTTTGTTAAGCTTTCGAGTTTATTTAACTCTTTATCAAAACATACTAAAAATTAAAACAAAAAACTACATTTGACACAACAAAACAAAACAATGAAGCTGTTGAATCTTCAACAGGCTTACCCTTGTGAGGATTTTACTATAAAATTAACAGAATTAACCAATATTTTTTGTATGCATTTTAGGTTAGTTTGACAAAGGAAGTGCCTATATTCATGCAAACCTCCATCGCACATTTTGACATAATATGTAAAAACGTTTCGTTTGCACTTATTAAACAAACAACAGGGTTTGTTTTACTAATAGTTTATTTTAATAAGTGCAAATTCTTTTTTCTAATTTATATGTAATCTTTGGAAACCTATAAAAACTACACTTATTTTTTTTTTCTATTATTAGTGCAATTAAATACGCAACATATATTTGCACCCATTTTTAATAAAATTTATGCGTAAAAAGATAGGTACAATTTTGTTATATTTCGCCGCTACGCACGCTGGCATCGTTTCAATGTACCCCTACTATGATTACGAACGGAGCGAATATCATTTATCTATGTTTTGAATGAAAGAAAAAAGAAAAGCAAATTAATAAAATGTTATCAAATGTTAAGTAATTCTGTTAATTTTATAGTAACATCCTCACAATGGTAAGCCTGTTGAAGATACAACAACTGCATTATCTAATTTAGTTTTTTGTTTTCATTTTTGGTATATTTTGAGAGAGTTAAATAAACTGGAAAGCTTAATAAACAAAGAGTTGTACTTAAATTCCAGTATTTTACTGCAAAACCCAATATATCCATATGTATTTCACCTAGTCACTAAAGCCCTTTTCAATTATATATATATATATATATATATATATATATATATATATATATATATATATAATATATATATATATATATATATATATATATATATAAGTTATGATTTTTGAGGATGCAGTCAGTTTATTTGGCCCACAAGACAAAGAAAACTCTTTGACTTACTGTCAAGCTTTCGAATTTTATTTAATTCTTTTTCAAGACATCTATAAAAAGAAATATAAATTAACTAGTTAAAATTGTTAATTTTCTTACTTACTAGTCGTGAGATTACAGTTTTTAATATTGTACTCTACTAAACAAACCATAATAAATATAATAAAATTTTTTTATTAAAAATAACTATATTGTCATTATATATGTCACTGTCATGGTTTGATTAATGGACATATATGAATGAAAATACAGTTTTAACTAGTTAATTTATATTTCTTTTTATAGATGTCTTGAAAAAGAATTAAATAAAATTCGAAAGCTTGACAGTAAGTCAAAGAGTTTTCTTTGTCTTGTGGGCCAAATAAACTGACTGCATCCTCAAAAATCATAACTTATATTTAAATCAACAGTCAAGAATACCACCATCTTATATATATATATATATATATATATATATATATATATATATATATATATATTTATAATGTTGTAATATACAAGTTGGGCTTTTGAAAATCTATGTTAAATTATAACCCAATACAAAAGTTTAATACATGGTAGTTGACTCCAAGATATCAGGAAATTATCCCTTTCTTGTAGATAAATATTGATGGAGGGAGATTGAAGCAGCGAGTTGTGTTGTCTTGAAAGGAAGCGAAACATAAAGGTCAAGTAGTATAAGCCATCAAAGGCAGCTGTCTGTTGATAAACGAGCTAATAACAAACGCGACATTTTGATTACACTATCACCCCTTGCTAGCAACACCGCTCACTCTCCCGAACAGCACCGTGCTTTCCGCCCTTGAAGATGACGATTTACTAATTACTTTCAGACATTATTTTCGACACCCCACTATCTCGGCTC